TCCCAGCTATCACTATAATCCGGGCTGGCCTAGAGTTCTTGGAGCTCAATGTGTAGACCAGGTCGACCTTGAACTTGTGTCTATTTTTCCACTTTAGCTTCCCAAGTGCTTAAAGATGCCAAGGTTCAAGCTAATTATAACCACTTACATCTTTTATTCTGAAGATACTGACAAACTAAACTATTGAGAGCTTTTACTTTCCTAGGAAGCAGAGAAACAATCTCTCTAGTATAAAAGGAAAATTTGTAGCAAATTTCTCAATGTTTGGTAAATCTAGGTGACAACATAAATTTATATTTAATTCAAAAGAACTAGAAAAGCACCACGTATTAGTAAAGGAACACAGTTTATAGAGAACAGAAAACTAAAAGAAAAAGAAGGAATCAATCTGTCTCACCCATTGAAAATATGCTGAATGAGTGGGTGAGCAGTCTTCAGGTATACGTCTCGATTGGTGCAAGCCTCATCAAAGACTTCATCAAAATAAAAAACATGCTGAAAAATAAACTTGATTTTTATAGAAATACATTTGTATTTTCACCACCATTATTCTATTAACACATGGGAAAAAGGAAACACATTTCAAAGCAATAGTAACTGACTAATAAACTCAGAAAAACGAATAACTAGTAACTGTTAAATGACTGTCTTTACTTTCCACTTTTGTCCTTACATGTTCTTACAGTGTAACAACTAAAGTAGACAACTTTTGTTTTCTCTTAAGAGAAGTAAACTGATGAAGGCAAGAGTGAGTCAATCCTCTTTGGTCTGGGAGAGAAATGAATTCTATAAGAGTTATCTTATAGACCAAGCAAGGAAAATGTGTGTGAATTCTAGAGATCAATTTTCATTCTGCAGGTTACATAGCTTAACTTGTAGTTCCACAAACATCCACTGTTAGCTGGTGGACGTATATTCTAACAGGAGTGTGCAGGAGCCCAAAGATAAGACATTATCCTACCCCATGCCTGAAGGGGTTGATCTACACAAATACACAGATGACCTATCTGGTAGCAGAGCTTTAAGAGAAAGTATGGGTGAAATAAATGAATATGCACTCTGATAGTTGTTGTACTTGCCCCATCTTCAGTGTCTTATGATACTGAGTTAGCTATTAATTATTTAGCTATTGGGAAAGTCATAATTTTTGTTTTAATGGATCTGTTTGATTATTGTTATTACTATTTGGGACAGGGTCTTTGTGTGTCCCAAGCTGACTTTGAAGCTATACAGTCAAGGATGACCTTGAACTTGTGACTATCCTGCCTCTGTCTCCGAAGTGCTAGAATTACATGACTGCACCACCCTTCCTGGCTTATGTGGTGCTGTGGATTAAACCCAGGGCTAGTTTACTCTTACAGTGAGGTCTAGTCCAGCCAGGGCTACATGGTAAGAAAGATCCTGTCTCACCCCTACTCACCTCTCCCTAAAAAACTCAATCAATGAACCACAAGAAGTGCCTTTCTGGAAAAGAGAATGTATTCCTTTTTGTCTTATGAAATTAAAGACATAGCCCTGCCAGGCATGGTGGCACACACTTAATGCCAGTACTTGGGAGGCAGTACTTGGGAGCAGGGGAATCTTGTGAGTTCCAGGTGAGCCTGACCTACAGAGTAAGTTCTAGAACAGCTAGGGCTGTATAGTGAGACCCTGTCTTAACAAACAAACACACACCAAAACCAAAATGAAATAAAAAGCACAGGCCTTTTGCCAATATGGTAAGTCCTAGAGTCCCTGTACAAATTAATTTTTACTGATATATATGAGTGTCTACTGTATGAGTGTGGGTGCTCAAAGAAGCCATAAGAGGGTGTCAGATCCCCTGGAACTGTACTTATACATTGTTGTGAGCAGCCTGACACAGGTGCTGGGATTGAACTCAAATCCTCTGGAAGAGCAGTGAGTGCTCTTACTCACCTAGCCAACTCCCTAGAGCCCTAAAAATTGAAAAGGATTAAGAAGGCATTGTAGCACACGCCTGTAATCTCAGAACTTGAGTTGCCAAGGCAAGAGGACCACAAGTATATAGCCTGGGCTTCAAAGGAAATTCCAAGCCAGCGGACTAGGAAGTGATACATTCCCTCAATAAATATGTAAATAAAATAATTTTTTAAAACTGGAAAGTAGGGAAGATCTTGGGATGCAGCTCAGTGGTAAAATATTTTCCTAGCATAGATGAGGCCCTGAATTAAATTTCTATTATGGGGGGGGCTGTAAAAGTAAAACAAAAGGAGAAAATAGAACAAAAAATAATTTGGAAAGGAAAATAATTTTGCTTTTACTTATTGTGCTTGTATAAAAATTTTTGAGGGGGTTTGGAGACAGGGTTTCTATGTAGCTTTGGAGGCTGTCCTGGAACTCGCTCAGTAGACAGGCTGGCCTCAGACTCACAGGGATCTGCCTGCCTCTACCTCTCAATGCACTACCATAGCCTGGCTACACTTGTATAAAATTTTTAATGGATAAGTGGCAGATATACTTGATTTGAAGGAGATAGGATATTTAACTACATATACATTTTTTCTGTTTTACTCCCTGAGTTAAGTTTCAAAATAAAACCTAAAGGACTTAGGATCACTTTCATTTAGCACCAAGTTCGATATGGACTTCTTTTTGAGGAAGGAAAAAAAGGAGAGGATGTAAATCCAGTATTTTTATATCATAGCATTGACAGATAAGGACTCTGACCTATAAGATCAAAGGTCCAAAGTTCAACAGCAGAGAAAATGCCATGGGATCTATGGGTATTCGATAAATGTTGATCAATGGCAGTGACAAAGAAGTAAGGTTATTGTGTTTGGGGATAATGGAAAAATACAAAAGATAATATGATGACTCTTGGAGGGAATTACTGTGACTGAAGCATCATTAAGGAAGCCTTGGGCAGATGGTGATCGGGCAGAGCGATTACTCTGGCTATAGTAGCTGTGGAACTAACTAGCCTTACAACTAATTGGTCATTTAGACTATCTTCAATGTAAGTATCTCCCACTGAAACCTAATAGACTGTGCATTGATCAACAATCGATGAAGCTGTTAAAATGATTGGGTTGGCTGTACTGTGGCCTAGTAATTTATTGCCCATAGAGAGACTATTGGATTACTCTAAATGTCACTGTGAAACTCAATTTTTGGAAGAACAATGCAAGTTTGAAGAAGGGGTAAGTTTCTACAATTTGACTTCAGTGTTACAGGATTTACTGCAATAGAATAATATCTCAGCTGACTAAGGTGAATTGCTAGCACATCCCATTAATCACCACACTTTTTTTCTCATTATCAGTCACAGGGTTTTGCAAAAGAACAAGAGAAAGAACCAATGTTCAATATGAATGTTTATGAAGGAAGACTCTTTTAAGAAGGCAATTCATAGTAACGGAAATTACGCGTTCCAAAGTCCTTGTGTGTACATACAGGTGTATATACCTATTCGTGCACATGGAAAGGCCAGGGATTGATGTTAGGAGTCTGTCTGTCACTTTGAATCTCATCTTTTGAAATAGGATAGTTTACTAAACCTGAGGTTCATCAATAAACTATACTAGTCAGAAAGCAGATCTCTTGTTTCCATCTCCCAGGACTGGGGTTACAGCTATCTGCCACAATGCCCAACTTTTTATGTGGATGCTGGGGTCTGAACTCAGCTCCTTACACTTGTGCAGCCAGTACTGAAAGCACTGAGTCATTTCCTTAGCCCCTAAAATTCCAAAATCTTAACATACTATGGATTATATGACTTTCTCTCATTTGTAGAGTTTGTTGTTTCTCTATGAGAATTGGTACAACCTTAGAATAAATTCTTTTCAACACCAACCTTTTTTTATAGACAGTTTGAAATTTTTTGTGTCTGAACACTATTTTATTAAACCCTTACATATTAAATGTGGGAACATATCCCTAACAACATATTATCCATAATGAAATACAAGACTATTACTCAAGAGTTGGACATAAAAATACTTGCCTGTAACAACACTCAGTATGCTCAGTCAGAAAAATATTCTAAGGCCAACTTGGGCTATACAGCAAGTTTTATTTTTAGGCCAGCCTGGACTACAGAGTCATACCCTGCCCTCAACAATACTCCACTGAGCTGACAGTGACGTTGAGCATGAAAAGCACATGCCTGTAATCCCATCATGCAGGAGACAGAGGCAGGAGGACAACTGCAAATTCAAGTTTTGACTGGTATGCCTAGTAAAGTCTACGTGTGTCTAGCAAATTCTAGGCCAACCAGGGCTGCATAATGAGATTTTGTTTAAAAACAAACAAGAGCTCAGTTGACATATGCCTTTAATCCCAGCATTAGGGAGGAAGAAGCAGGCAGATCTTTATGAATTAAGACCACCCTGGGAGAGTTCCAGGACAGCCAGGACTACAGAGTGAGATCCTGACTCAAAAACAAACAACAAAAGAAAACAACAACAACAACAAACAAACAAACAAAGCAAGAAAGCAAAAGCAGCCAGACAGTGGTGGCACACACTTTTACCCCAGCACTCAGGTTCAGAAGCAGGAGGATCTCTGTGAGTTTCAAGCCAGTCTGGTCTACAGAGTGAGTTCCAGGATAGCTGTTACACAGAGAAATCTTGTCTCAAAAACAAAACAAAACGAAACAAAAAAGAAACCAAAATGTTCATATTGCATGATGCAGGGGAAAAAGGAGACCAAGTTTGTGACCATCACTCTCTACTTAGTTAAATTATTTTTTATTCTCTCTCCTGTGCCCTTCATTTTGCTAAATATGCATAATTAAATTCACATAAACAGGCTGGAGAGATGGCACAGTGGTTAAGAGCACTGGCTGCTCTTCCAGAGGACCTGAGTTCAATTCCCAGCACCTGCATGGCAGCTTACAGCTGTCTGTAACCTCAGTTTCAAAGGACCTGACATACTTACAAAGACATACATGTAGGCAAAACACCAATGCGCATTAAAAAATATTTAAAAATTCACATAAACATGTTAAGTGAATCTATTGTAGATCTTCATTGCATAATGCAGGAATTATAGTTTTCCAACTATGTATACCGTAATCACACTACATTTTTAAAGAATGAAGGCCCAAAGTATCAATAATTCAGAATAAAAATCAAGAGCTGGGCACAGTGGCACATGCCATTAATCCCAGCATTTGGTAAGCAGAGGCAGCCAGATGTCTGTAAGTTCTAAAGGAGGTTAAGAGCCTGTCTCAAAATAAATAATAAACAAACATTAAAAAAATCAATACCTGGAGCCGGGCTTAGGTGGCGCACGTCTTTAATCCCAGCACTTGGGAGGCAGAGGCAGGCCTGGTCTACAAAACTACACAGAGAAACCCTGCCCCCCCCCCCCAAAATACCTGAATCAGAAGCTGGGTTTTAAAACAACCATTTAAACATAAAGCAGAAAACTGACATACTTGATAATAGTAGTTTGCAACACAGTAAGTAAAAGATTGTACCTGAAGAATATATTGTGTGAGGTCAACTGCTTCTTTTTTTTCATGTACAAGCAGAGTTTCTTTATCTTCTACAGTAATAATATTAACTTCTCCACGACGTACTTCTCTCACACCTAGGCCGTATGCGAACACAAACTCTGATTTTCTCCATTTCAGTCCAAGGATTTTCTGAGGTAATCTGTCTGATATATGTTTACAAAAAGACGGTAATTTTTAATAAAAGGATTCAACTATTTAAATGGTCAAAGTGTCAGCAAATTTTGAGTATATTTAATATAATTATTTTGTGGTTTTTGTTTTTAAGACAGGGTTTTACTTTGTAGCTCAAGCTGATCTAGAACTTGCTATGAAGCCCAGGCTGGCCCTAACTTTCTACCCTAGCCTCCCAAGGGCTAGGACTACAGGTGTGCACCACCAAACCCAAGTGTTGAGACAAGGTCTTGCTGTTGTAGTGCAGGCTAGCTTGAGCTCCTGTTTCTCTTGCCCTCACCTCCCATGTGCTGAGATTATAGGCCTACATCACCCCACCAAGCTCATTTAAACAATTCCATATTAAATGTCAGCAATGAGAAAGTTTTTACTGGCAAACCTCTGGTTTCTATCTCTTACCTACTCCACCTCACTCTTTGCCTTATCCTGCCCCCCAAAGAAGAAAAAGGCTAATATCTAAACTCTGTTATTTTATTTTTTGGTTTTTTTGAGACAGGGTTTCTCTGTGTAGCTTTCCTGGCATTACCTCTGTAGACCAGGTGTCATTTTGCCTCAAGATCTAGCCACTTTGTTTTCTGAGACAGAATTTGTCACTGGCATCTAGCATCAAAGATCCATCCACCTGTCTCTATGAACCCAGTGCTGGGATTACAATCATGCATACCACACTGGCTTTTAAAGTGTGTGCTGGAGATCCAACTTGTCCTTATGCTTGCATGGCAAGCATTTTATCAGCTGAACTATTTTCCCAGCCTCCTTACTTTTTTTTTTAGCCCCACCCTGATAACCATGTATTTCTTCTCAGAACAATTT